AGGACAGCGCAGGAGAAGAAGGCCCTTTATGAGGTGGATTGATTCAGTGACTGGGATAATCGGAATGGGAGTGTCAGAGACAGTGCGATTGGCACAGGACAGAGCAGAGTTTAGGGCTGTTGTACATAGGGTATCTATGAGTCGCAGGCGACTCGACGGCACATAACAACAACATGCGACAATACATAACAACATGCTACTACCGGAGTTAGTGTTAAAAACTTAAGGCATTTATTAACTGAAAGAAAAAAACTTTAAGAAATAATAAAAATGTACATGGCAACTAATTTGAATGTAAACATTAAGGGATATAAAGTGAAGCAAAAGCATCCCTGCTATCTCACAGCCTATTTTTTTTTCCCAAAGGAAATGATGAAAACTAATTTCAGAAATACTCTGTACATATATATACCTGTATCACTTTCTCCTTTGTTAGGCAAGTGGCAGCGTACCACTTACACTGTTATGTACCTTGCTTTCTTTGAAATAATTTAAAAATTGCTTATAAATACTTGTAAATATATTGGTTTTTCAATTATGATTATGCTGCAAACCTGAAGGCACAAGGCTTGAATCCATTAGTTGATCCACGGGAAAAAGATGGGCAGTCTCCTGTCCATGTGTTTAACTGTCTCTGCAAACCTGAGAGAGGGTCAGCTCTGGGTTCCGACTCGACAGTATAAAATAATAATTTATGAGGTGCCTTATCTCTTAAAAGGCAGCTTATTATTAAGCTGCACAATCAATATGACCAATAAAATAGGCTAAACAAAAAGCATGTAATAAAAGAAAAAGTCAGGGAGCTCTGGTGGCAAAGCTGCATTTCAGTCCCAGAGGTATGCAGTTCAGATCCACCAGATGCTCTACTGGAGAAATAGGGGCAATTTCCTCCTGGACCAGTCAGATCCAATTTGATGGTACACACAAAAAATAATCAAATTTTTAAAAAGGGAGAAAATCATACCAAAAGACAAACAGTAGCTAGTGTATATGCTTATAAACAGTAAAGAAAAAGGAACAGCGTTCTTTATTCAGTCAGCTGATACAGTGGTTTCACTAATATCAGTGTACTTTAAAAAGACAAGACAAGCACATGCGAGAAAAAGCAGAACCGTAGACACATGAACCCAACAGACTCATAATGAAAGCTACCACCAGTGGAAAATAAAATTACTTTGTCTCATTGCACAAAGAGCTCTGGTGGCCTAATAGTAAGAAGTGGCACTGCAATCCCAAAGACATGTAATTCAGATCCACAAACTGGCTTTCTGCCCTACCCACACAAGGGTCCAGTGACGTCCTGGTTCCATCATAATGTCTGGAAACTTTGATGTCCTACAGATGAAGGAAGAGAATGTCCTCGAATTCCTTGCAGCAGGAATGCATTTGGGTGGCACCAACCTTGACTTCCAAATGGAACAGTACATCTACAAAAGGAAGAGTGATGGCATCTGTATCATAAACCTGAAGAGGACCTGGGAGAATCTTCTCTTGGCTGCTTGTACCATTGTTGTCATTGCAAATCCAGCTGATGTCAGTATATCCTCCAGAAATACTGGCCAGAGAGCTGTGCTGAAGTTTGTTGCTGCTACTGGGGTCACGCCTATTGCCGGGCAATTCACTCCTGGAACCTTCGCTAACCAGACCCAGGCAGCCTTCCAGGAGCCTCCTCCTCTGGTGGTTACTGATCCCGGGACTGACCACCAGCCTCTGACAGAAGCGTCTTACGTAAACTTGCCCACCACTGCCATGTGTAACACAGATTATCTTCTGCATACGTAGACATTGCTATCCCATGCAACAACAAAGAAGCTAACTCTGTGGGTCTGATGTGGTGGATGCTGGCCTGGGAAGTTCTGTGCATGTGTAGCACAATCTCCTGGGAGCACCTGTGGGAGGTCATCCCCTATCTATACTTCTACAGAGATCTGGAAGAGATTGAAAAGGAAGAGCAGACTGCTGCTGAAAAGGCTGTAACCAAGGAAGAGCTTCAGGGAGAATGGACAGCCCCTACTTCTGAATTTACTGCTGCTCAGCCTGAAGTTGCATACTGGCCTGAAGGCATACAAGTAACCTCTGTGCCTGTTCAGTAGTTCCCTACTGTAGACTGGAGTGCTCAGCCTGAAATTGAAGACTGGTCTGCAGTCCCCACTGCTCAGGCCATTGAGTGGGTCAGAACAACCACCGAGTGATCTTAAACTGTCTTTTATAGAGTAGAAATAAGGTTGATGGAAAATAAACAGTATGTTTCATAGCAAAAACCAAAAAGCTGCTCCATGAGAGGAGAGTCTCATTTGATTTACTGTCTTTGAAAACCACTAGAGTTCATTACGACTTGACGACAAACAAGTCCACAAAAGCCAAAATATGACTTTAGTTTATGCTGAGTTTAAAAACCACTGTAAATAGATTTGTTATTCTGAACACTCATGACCAAAGACCAGCTGAATTGTAGGGTGACACAGGATTGGAGGAAGACTCGTCAACAACTTGCATTATGCAGATGACTTACCTTGCTTGCTGAAACGGAGGAGAACCTGAGGCATTTGACTGCAAAAAAAAAAAGTCAAGGACTGCAGCCTTCAATATGGATTGAAGCCCAACATCAAGAAAACAAAGATTCTCATCACTGGGCCACTTGGCAGCATCATGGTAGATGATGAAGAGATTGAGATTGAAAATAGCTTCAGTTTACTTGGCTCCACAATCAGCACTCTTGGTACCAGCAGTTAGGAAATCAAAAGACATTGCACTGGGAAAATGTGCTGTCAGGGACCTCTCCTGAATACTGAAGAGCAAGTATGTCAGTCTGGAGACTGATGTGTGCCTGATTCAGGCTGTGGTCTTCACAATTACTTGCACAGCATCAGAAAGCTGGACAATGACTAGAGATGATAGAAGAAGAAGTGATGCCTTTGAATTGTGGTGCTAGAGAAAGTATTGAACATAACATGGACTGCTAGAACAAACATATTTCCTAGAGAAGGTGAAACCAGGCTGCTCTTTGGTTAGTACTGAACAGAAAGTAGCATATGATCAAGAACCAGTGTTGCTGAAGGGAGACATCAGGGATGCATTGAAGGCATTGGCAGAAAAGAAGGCAGTATAAAGTGATGGAATACCAATTTATGTGTTTCTACAAACAGATGGAGGCCTGGACATACTCACTAGTCTATATGAAGAAATTTTTAAGACAGCTATTTGGCCAGTTGACTGGAAGAGATATTTGTTCCCATTCCAAAAAGTAATAAAACAGAATGAGGAAGTTTTTTATTTTGGCGGTGGGGGGGGGGGGGTTTAGTACAAACTTTTTATTTTGTACTAGTTTACTTATAAAATTCATATACATTGTTTTCCATACTGAATCTTTTCCATTCAAAATGAGGAAGTTCTCAAACAATAGCATTAATAGCACATGGAAGTAAAATCTAATCATTTCCTCAATGTGTTGAATGACTTTTTATAGGCAAAATTTGGATTACTTCTGATGGTTTCTATTCCAATACAAAGTAATCAAAGTATGGACATTATCGAGCAATATCATCAATATCACATAGAAGCAAAATACTGCTGAAGATCATTCAAAAACAGAGCAGAACTGCCAGAAGTTCAGGCTGGATTTAGAAAAGTAGTGGGACCAGGGATATCATTGCTGGTGTCAAATGGACCCTGGCCAAAAGCAAAGAATACCAGAAGAATGACTGTGCTTTATTGACTATGCAGAGGCATTTGTGAATCATATAAAATTTTGCCTAACATTGAAAAGAATGGGAATCCCAGAACATTTAATTGTTTTCATGTGAAATCTAATACCTGAACAAAGAGGCTGTTGAGCAAATAAAGCAAGAAAACACCAAATGGTTTAAAATTTTAAAAGTTGTGCATCACTTTTGTATCTTTTTCTCCATACCTATTCAGTTTGTATACTGAGCAAATTGTTCAAGAAGCTGGACTGTGAAGATGAATTTGGCATCAAGACTTGTAACCTTCATTATGCAGATGACACAACCTTGCTTGCTGAAAATAAGGAGGACATGTAGCACTCTGCAGAAGATCAGAGTCTATAAGTCTTCAATATAGATGGCATCTCAACATTAAGAACAAACAAATATGCCAAAAGGACAAACAAATGTGTCTTAGCGTACAGGTGGAGTGCTGTTTGGAGGCAAGGATGATGAGGCTTCGCCTCACATACTTTGGACATGTTGCTAGAAGATACTCTTCCTTGGAGAGGGATATGATGGTTGGAAGTGTGGAGGATTGATGAAGGAGAGGAAGACCCTCAATCAGGTAGATTTATACAGTGACTGCCACAATGGGCTCTGGTGTGTCAGGAGCTGTGAAGATGGTACAGGATAGGATGGGTTTCATATCCGGTGTTCACTGGGTTGCTATGAGTAGTACTCAACTTGACAGCACCTAACAACATCAAGAAAACAAATTATCATCACTGAACCAAACAACATAATAGGAGAAAGATTGAAGTTGTCAGCAACTTCATCTTACTTGAATCCACAACTGCCATCCTTGGTACCAGCAGTCCCATGATCAGGAGACATGCTGCACTAAGAATGTCTGCAGTCAAGGACCTCTCTAAATTACTGAGGAGCAATGATGTCAGTTTAAGGACTAAGGTGCACCTGATTCAGGCCATAGTCTTTTCTCTCCTTGGATGTGCACCTGACAGTGAGAGCTTGATGGTGAATAAGGATGACAGAATTGATACTTTTGAGCTGTGGTATTGGAGAAGAGTACTGAATATCCCCTGGATTGGCAAAAAGAACAGCTATGTCTCAGAGAAGGTGCAGCCACAGTGCTCCTTAAAAGCAAAGGTGATAAAGCTTCATCTCACAGACATTGGGCATGTTGCTAGAAGACTTTATTCCTTGGAAAAGTGGTCAGCAGAAAAGAGACTTTCAACCAGATGGATTGACAGTGACTGTAACATTGGGCTCGAGTATGTTAGAGATTGTGAGGGTGACACAGAATAGGACAGTGGCCAGATCAGTTGTTCCTAGGGCTGTGGGTTGTACTTGATGGCACCCAGCAGATTAAATATTACCTGGAGTCTTGAAAATGGTGTGTAAACTCTGCTTGTGATAAATGAAAAATGTTCCAGTGACATTGGTCATATTGTGATGAAAATAGCATTTTCATTCATGTTTGATGAGCACATGAATTAGTGTAACATTTCTAGAAAGTTGAAGTATGTATCAAGAACCTTAAGAACATTAATTAACTCATGAATTCTGCTTTTAGGAATTCTGTTGTAATAATTAGGGACATCTGGTGACTGGGTGGGTAGAGAATTGAACTTTTAACCCCAAAGTGGACAGTTCCAGTCCACTAGCTGCTCCAAGGAGAAAGATAAACTCTCTTCTCCTGTGGAATTTATAGCCTCTGGAAACTCACTGGAGGGTCAGCTGTTAGTCAGATCTATCTTGACAGCAGTGCGTTTTTGCATCAATGCTATAATCAGGGATGTGAACAAAAATTTTAAATAAAGATTTTAAAAAAAAAGATAGTTAATTCTGGTACGTTGTAAGAAAGGGAAATTAGAGTGAGAGAATCACACCACAAGCAAACCCGCTAAACCCGAAAACTCAGTAAAAATGTTCTTTGTAGTACCTTTTTGTAATAGGAAACTCTGAAATATCTAGATGTTCAACAGAGCATTGGTTAAGCAAACTATGATACATCTGTATAATGAAGTGTAACTGTGAAGATAACATTAAATGATTATTTTAAAGAATGTGATAAAATGGTCTGGATATGAAAAAAAGATTCACATTTTATGGCATTTTTAAGAAAATAGCCGTATATATCTCAAGGCAATATACTTAGTCATTATCTGGATTATAAGATTTAAGTTCATACTTTTTATAATCTGCCATGTTTTAATTTTTCTCTGGTGAATAGTCATTTTATAATCAGAGAAAGGTAAGAATAATTTAAAACATAATCTTTTGTTGTTAATTTGCATTGCAACAGTTCCTTATTTTGCCATTCTATTCAGATGTAAGAGTGAAGACTGTATTATAAAGTTGTGGTCAGAAACCTCCCTCCTTTGTTTGAATCCCCAAAGGAGAAACAGGAAGAAGCCAGGAGATTTGGTGTTGCCTTTGCAGTGCAGGCAAAGCTGTGACAGCACAAAATTTCACTAGTATAGATGAGTTCAAATCAAAGGAAAATGTAGCTAAATCTCAGAGCTTGAGAAAATAATTCGGTAGGTACAGGCACTAGTTAATTCTCAGGGTTGGATCCCAATGAGGCCAGTTTCTTTGCAGTGGGGTTCTAGCCTACTAATCTCTCTCATCCATTGTGTTGTAACCCCAGTCATCTGTAATCCCAGTGATGGTCTCAGGGAGCTCTCTTGGTATGCCTTGCATGTAGAGCAAAAAGTCAGCAGATTGAATTCACCAACTGCTCTGAGGGTAAAAGGTGTGCAGTCTTCTGTAAAGATTTTGGCCTCAGATACTAAGGTCACTGTGAATTGGAACTGGCATTGCACTGGGTGGTCTCAGGCAGTGTGTTTACAACTAAACTATTAATGATAGCTACCGTGTCACTAGCACCTTTTCAATATTGTTTCTCATTTTCTTAATTATACTGAGAAAAAGTAGTCATCAACTGTTTTTGAGGCTGAGAGAGGTTAAATAACTTTCTTAGAATTATGCAAATAATGAGGCTTATTAGAATCCAAACTCACTAACTCACTAACACTAAAATATTGTCTGGACTCTTGCTTTCCAAGTATTTTTTTTCTGAACGTTTTAGGGGAGAAACCGAAATAATAATTGTTAACCAGGCTAAAATTTTGGTTATGTCTTATATTAGCATCTAGTAATGCTTGTGGCCTTGCATGTTGATTTCTCAGCCTTGATTTTTGTAATGGTCCTTAATCACATTACATGCTGTTATGTCCTTCACAGATAACCCTTGTTTTAAAACTACTAAAGAATATTTTGGTTGCTTGATCAAAGGTTGTGTATTTTTCTTGCTCTGATTGCAAATAATCCCCTTAAATCCCCATTAACCCACTTCAGCTTTGTGATTGGAAGATGGGCTTTATTTGCAGTGCAATTAAAATACATCTGAGTAAGTAAGGCTCATTTGTGTTCTTAGCTGAGCTTGGCAGACAGCTCAGGTTAAATGGGCTTTCAGTGCCTCGAACCATCTGTATCTTAGCAGTAAGGCCAGCAATAAGTTTGAGAACATCTTATTTGGTTGTAAGTAGAATGAAAAGAGATCAAAATATCCTTTTATCCTCTAATTAATTACCCCATCCTAGTTTTGGGGCAATTACTATCCTACTGACAAAAGAAAGTTGTACACTTTTTCATTCTCTCTCTTCCTAGCATGTCGTGTTGATGTGGCAACTTCTATATATCCAAGAAGTGGACTGGAAAGGTGAATTCTTGGCACAAAATAATTTCCGTATTATCCTAGATTCCCTGCCTGTTGTTTTCTGTCACTCTGACACCTCCCCCCACTTTTTGTAACACGGATTTCATCTGAAGTAGTAGAAAAAAATAAACAGGGGCCTGGGCTGTGGAATGCCTTTTTTATCTCCTTTGCCTCTCTAGAGGCCTCCCTGATGCTTCCTGATAACAGTTTGGCAAGCTGCTCCATTGCAATTAAGTTTTTCAGACTCACAGGTTTGTCTTAATAACCATCTCGGTTAGAGGGAGTCCTTGTAGCCGTCATGCTGCACATACTTTTGGAGTGAAGTTAGCAAGAAAGATAACAAGCACAGTGAGAGGGCAAGCACTCAAATTTGTGTTGCACCCAGATACAACTCATGGCCAGATAAATAATCAGTGAAATGTGCTTATTACATAGCACTTTGTCTTGATGGGATGTTGACTGCTGGCACCAAGCCACCAATGGAAATGTTGTAAAAGAAGGAAAAGAAAACTTGTTGATTGCTCTTCACAGGTACTTGGTGATTTCAGAAAAGCTTGAGGAGATCAAGTCTTTCCGGGAGCTGACTTGCCTGGACCTTTCCTGTTGCAAGCTTGGAGATGAACATGAACTTCTAGAACATCTCACCAATGAGGCCCTCTCTAGGTATTGATCTGTTACCATTTGTAAAGGAATTGTTTTATTAATTCTTCAAGGGATGTGATTTACTTTCCAGTCCTGTGTTTGCTGTTTTTTTTCTAAGACATTTTTAGGCCCCATTTATTTTGTGCATGCATATAGTCTGAACTCTTAGGTCATTTGGTTTTGTTTGCTAAATAAACTTTATTTCAGTATGTTGTACTTGAAGCTACCTGTTGGAAAATTATTTTGCTGCTGTTTTTCCAGTCTTACTTTATTCTAGCAATGGATGAGAATTAGTTTTCCATGGTCATTATTATTTTTTTATCAATTAAAGTATAAAGAAATGTAGTTATTAAAGACCACAAAATAAATTCCTTTTGAGAAACATGATTTCAAGAAGTGGCTGAATTGATACCATTTACACAGTCCTGCTGATTTCAGGTTCCTCAGTCCAGCCAGCAGAGGAGGGCAAATGGATTCCTTTGTGGTTTCATAACACCCAGAAGGATAACAGCATTGCAGACCTGGGTCTAGCCTGGTGCTAACAGCGGTACCTACACACTGCCCCATACAAAGGTATTTTTGTGTGAGGTTAGCAGCAAGGCTCAGATTTCTTATTTGAGAAACAGCACACATTAAGTACATCACTTTCAAGTTAGCTGGATGGATTGGGTTATAGCCCAATCTGAAAATCTAGATTTGGAGAGCTGACTAAAATTAAAGAAGGATTTGCTGTGCAGAAGGAACTTTATAGAACTTCTTTAGCCTACTTCCCTAGCATTTAGAATGATATTTTGATGTTTTTTTCCCACATAGTTTGTTAGGCCTGCAGCTTTTATAAGGAGCCTTGGTGGCGCAGTGCTGACATGTTTGGCTGCTAACTGAAAGATCTGTTTAAACCCATCAGCTACTCTGTGGGAGAAAGATGTGGCAATCTTTGCATAAAGATTACAGTCCTGTGTTCCTTTGTTCTCTTCAAGAGCACATAGACCAAATTTGGAATAATACAGAGATTAGCATGGCCCCTGCGCAAGGATGACACGCAGATTTTTGAAGCATATGATATTTTGCACGAGTTACAAATGTAATATGTTGTTTCTAACATTGAAACACTTCTCAGAGCAGAAATATAATGTCTGCAGCCCCTTATGTTAAAACAGATGTGTGCAAAAAATCTTATATACCTTGGAAAAGAGAGAAGAATTTCTTTAAAAGATTACAGTCCTGGAAATCTGTGGGAAAGTTTTTTGTTCTGTAAATTTGCTGTACATTGGAGTCCACTCAGTAGTATCGGATTTGATTCACTGTGTTTGGTTACAACTTTTATTTTAAACAAGTCATTGCTATTCTTCAATTGGAAGGCGTAAATCCCTTATTTGACCATACACCTTTAGTGCCCTCTGTCATCTGAGTTTAGTACTGCATGACAATTTTAGTTCCTGTTGACTACCAGTAACTGAAATAGCACCAAAAGATCTTGAACTCTGTTAAATACATTGGGTGTTAAATTACAGGGAGTAGATGATATTTTGCATTTTAAATGAAGTTTTTGAAAGTGTATTCTCATACCTAGACTTTATCTCCTTGAGTATAATTTATTTATGGTCTTTATTTCCCTAGTGTAACTCAACTCCACTTGAAGGATAATTGTTTATCAGATGCTGGGGTTCGGAAAATGACAGCACCTGTTCGAGTGATGAAAAGAGGCCTTGAGAATCTGACGTTATTAGACTTATCGTGTAAGTTTTATTAGACATTATAGATTATGAATAGTAGAATGGCTTTAGAGGTTACCCTTCCCTCTGTGTAGACATGGTAAAGCTGACAGGAAATGACTTCCCTAGGTGCTTAAGCAGGACTTCAGCCAGAGGCTCTTGACTCCTGACCAGCATGTCTTTCCTGTGCCACCTCTTTAAGTTAGGGAAAGAGTCCTTACAGATCCATCCATGGGACGCAGCTCCTGTAGCATGTGCAGTCTTGACAGCCTTTAATCATATTTATTGTGTATATAAAGAACATAAGGTTTTTTGGTTTGGTTTTTGTTTGGTTTTTTTTGTGTTTTTTTTTTTTTGCATCTGTAGTGCATGGTTTCCTGTCAACTGTATACCAACTGTATATTTGTCCGTATTTGCCTGATAAAAATCTAGATACATGCATACTGGTGGTCACTTCCTCAGGATTAATCAGATATTGACTCCAGTGGTAAAACTTGATAGAGACCATTTAAAATATAATGATAGTATGGTGTTGAAAGAATAGAAGGGGCAGGGCTTTGCAGTTAGATGCTTTGCTGCTTTTACTTGTATCTCTTTGGCCTTGCACAGGTTATTTAACCTCTCGGAGTTTGATTTTTTACCTCAGTAACATGATGAATGAGTGCCCTCCCTATCTCATAGGGAGATATATTCATTCAACAAATACTTTTTGAGTATCTCTAGCATTCCTAGCTCTGTATTCATAACCTCAAGGATTCAGTGCTCAGTACAGTGCTCTCTGATAAAAGAAAAGATTCTGGAAGAAAACAGCGTTGAGTTAGTAAGAGTAATAGTAGTAATAATCTTTATGTATAGGGACCCTTAGAAATCTTTTCAAAGAAAATACTAGTGTTTTAGTTTTTGACGAAAAAGTTTTGAGGCAAAATGACCATGAATAAAATATAATGACTATTTTAAGACATGTTACATTTTGCTGCTTTTATAAGGTTCCAAATTAGGCCCTTTAAGGATAACTATCTAGTTTAATTTTCCAAATCCCAAATCCTAATAAGAATTATCTAGTGTGGCTCTCTCTACAGATAATGTAATATGTTCCATTGTCTTATTGCCTACACTCACGAGTTTGTAGTTGGCATTTTATCAAGAGTTCTGCTATAACAGAACACTACCTGTTGTTGACATCTAGGCAACCCTGAGATCACAGACGCAGGAATTGGATACCTCTTCTCTTTTAGAAAACTAAACTGCTTAGATATCTCTGGGACAGGGCTCAAGGTAAGACTTTATTCCCTATTTTAGATGACAGATCATTATCGTGCTCTTAATTTACTACCAAAAGCAAGTAAGAATTGACCAGATATGTGCTATGCCTTTCTCTTCTCTCTCTCCCTCACAAGGACATCAAAGCCATCAAACACAAACTTCAGACCCACATAGGCCTCGTTCACTCCAAAGTGCCTTTGAAGGAATTTGACCATAGCAACTGTAAGACGGAGGGCTGGGCTGACCAGGTACTGCACATTTCTCCCTTCTACGGTTACTTTGGCTTTTTCATATTCCAACACTTGGAACAAACATTAATCTTGTTATCTGTTGGCTGAGTTTTCATCTTTATGTCAAATTAGAGACACTGATGGGCTGTAACTTGACCCAGCTATTCAAGGAGTTGGTGTTGCATGCTAATCCTTAAATTGCATTTCCCCCTTTATTGGACCTAAAAAAGAATGTCCTCTTACATTACAATACAGTAAATGTTCAGAAATGTTCAGAAAGCATTATGACTCACCTTCAGAAGGACATATTCTCTTGGCGATGCATATAAAGTGGATAGAGAATAAACTCAAGCACCATGCTTGAAAGAGTTCTGAACTTACTCTTTTTTTTTCTGTGCAGATTTGTTACCTTTTAGAACCTCAGTGAATAAATGGAAATGGCTTTGTTATCTCATTCAGTCTTTCTGGTTACAACTTCTTGATTGACTTTTACCTTGACTCCTTATTGTCTGGACACTTTCTTAAGTCAGTTGCAGATAAATACAGACTTTAAGTTGGAGTCAGAAAGTAACTTAAGTAATACAGTACTGGTTGGTGCCTGCTTGCATGTGGATAGTGTCATTCTCCTCTACACCATGGGTTTTTTTTAAATAAAATTTATTTTAATTGTGATTTTAATGAATGTTTACAAAGTTAGATTTTCATTTATCCATTGTTGGATATTTTACTTGTTGCACATTTTACCCCTTCTCTCTCACTTCTTCCCCCTCTCTCAGTTCACTTCCTCTCCCAGTCCTCTTTGCAATGTTATACCTCTTATGGGCTGTTGTCGTTCATATAATGCCTAATCATATATTCTTTTTAGACAGTTCTTTCTTTCATCTGTTCCAATGCAATGGTCCTTATCTATCTACTCTTACCCTCTTCTCTTCCCAACTCCCCATGTCAAACCTGCTTTGTAACCATGGTACTATGCAGTATTTGTCCTTTTGTGACTGAGCTATTTCACTCAGCATGATGTGCTCCAAGGTCCCGCATGTTGTATACCCATACAACTTTAACTGAAGTTTCTCTGAAGGCTAGTGGACCCATCAAACCATACTTCCTAGTCCTTCCCTAGACTCCAGCCCATAGTACATATTGACAAACCCATCTAGCTGCCTAATTATAGCAGTACTTGTCTCTAGATAAGGAAGAAGGAGTGCTAGTAAGTAATTTCAGTAGTACTCTGAGGTTGATCTGGAGCTTACTAGTGGAGTAATTATCACAGAGCATCGCCAGACAAAGTTTTTTGCATTTGATGAGTCCTGGATGTACTCACTGGACTTAGAAAAGGGAGGGGCTGGCTAAACAAACAATAATGTTTGATGCCTGATGATGTGATGGGACTAGCATAGGTTATAGGGTAAAAGAGACCTGATTTGGGATCTTGGCTTAACAGCCTCCTTGTTGCATGCTTTAGAGTTGGAACTGACTCATAGCTGATTTCAGAGGCAGTAAATTGCATGGGAAGAGGTTTCCACAGAGCACCTGGTGGAATTAACTGCATACCTTTGGGATTGTAGAGCAGCTTCTTACCACTAGGCCACTGGTACTCCCTAACTGCCTCTTAGTATGACTTGAAGCAATTTTGAATTTCTGTGAAATACAAGAAACAGTACCTGTTTTGCAGTACTTGGTAAGAATTAAGTAGAAAAACAATGGCTGCCTAACTTAAAAAAACCTAACTGATCCTGCTGAAGCACCATGTCATCCACCCTTAGTTAGGCCCCTACTGCTTGGCAGAATACTTTATCCATCTCTTAATTAATTCCTTATTTTAATAGTTTCTGGCTGCCATTGTTCTGCTCTCATTCTCAGTTGGTGACCCAGAAAAAGGAGGCCATATAACCATAGTCCATTTACTTCCCTGTCTCGCTCTCAAAATTTCTCCCTTTCTTTAATTTAACCATAATTTACTTCTCTCTGTCAGCAGTGAATAAGGTAGGCCACTTCTGTTCCAGTGATAAGCCCTTTACCTTCTGTCCCCCTACTTCTGTCCCTTTAACCTCAAGCCTCTGTGATAATTAATCTACTAGTAAATTATTTCTTCCCACTGGCTAATCCTGGCGGTGGAAAGGAGTCGACTGTTTTCTTTCTGTGTATAAACACACTCAGGTTACCCTTATTTCAACAAGACTCTTGTCTTCCTGCTTGACACTGAATTGTTTCCTATTCTTATCTCTCCTACTTCTCACTGCCCACTTAGTTCTTAATCCCTTGTAATCTAGTTCAGTCTTCCACTGGTCTACTGAAATTGTTCTCTTGAAAGCAACAGACAATCACCTAAAAGTCAAATCCATTGGCCTTTTCTCATTCTTCACTCTCCCTGGCATTTCTTTTATAGTAATATTTATTATAAACTCTCATGCCTTGACATCTTATCTCTTTTGATTGCTTTTCTGGTTTTCCTCTAACTTTCTGACCCTTTTATAGCTCTTGTGATTCCTCAACTCCACCTCTCCTCTTTTCCATCTCTGCTAACTTCATGGGAAGTGTAACTGTTCTCAGAGCCCTAACTGGCCCTGCAAGGATGACTCTTACTTCTGTACTACACAGCCATTCCTTAGTCTTTACCTGGATCTCTTGCTTGCTCACATTCAGTTTAATTCTCTTCTTCATGATCTCCACAACCCCAATGGCTTTTCTTATTGATGTTCTTATTTCTTTTAGCGGGGGAAAAGGTTTTCCCTGTTATCTGTCCAGCTGACAAGTTACAACTTGGCATTCTTAAGCCTGTCTTTTATTTCCCGTGACCAGGGAAGAATCATAGAAGTAGTAGCCATGAATATTTATTGAGAGCTTTCTACATGTCAGAGACACCATGACAAGCTCTTCATCCCCATGATCTCATTGACGCCTCCCAGCAGGACTCTGAGATACATACTATTACTGATCCCTATTTTATTGGTGAAGAAAATGAACGTAGAAACGAAATCATTTGCCAAGAATTCCCTGATTAGAAAGTGGCGAAACTAACAAACTGTATTCTTAAACTGTTTGTACTGTCTCTGTGTTATCCTTGCTTTTGTTATACAAATGTTTTTCTTGCTTTTCTTTATGATCATTTCATTGCATGCTAAAATTCTTTTCCAGTATATGTAAAATAATAATTTTATTTATAATCTTGTACCATATAAAACTGATCACATATACCTCTGTTCTAAATTCCATAAAGCCCATTACATTAAAAAAATTAAAAGTACATATTATGGTTTGTAATAACAAATGGATACTGGTTTATAACACTCAATCATAACATTATTTTTACTATATTGGTATGTCAGAGATGTTAGTGTATCTCAAAGAGTTTAGGGGTTTTATGCATAGAAAGATACACAATATATTTGATAATCAGACAAACATTTGACTACCTGACATTAGGGAACGGTGATGGCCTTATAGGTAAGAGTTTTGCTGCCAACCCAAAGGCATGTGGTTCAAATACACCAACTGCTCCAAGGGACGAAACATGGACAGTCTCCTGTCATACAACTTACTGCCTCTGAAAACCTTCTGGAGGATCAGCTGTTATTAGTCTGTTCTGGTTTAATGGTACATAACTACAACTACCTGACATTAGATACAAACCATACCTAACTGTCCAGCTACAAGTACAAATTCACCTTAATCACAGCTTTGGGGGCTGCCTATATGTAGTCAGGTGTTAACACAATATCTAAATCATATAATATCCTATTTCATAGAACATCTCTTGGTATTAAGTTACAGATAGTTTATTGTCAGCCAAATTTCCAGGAAAAATTTGTAGTAACTTGTGCTAAAACTACATTTGTAGAAAAGATGGACATTTTGCATACAAACGTATTTTAAGGCATGGCAATGAGTCTAGAATGTATAAGTATTAGGATTAAAATTTTTGCGATCATATTTCATTTAAAGAGTGTGCAGTTTGTTTCTTGCTTGGAATAAATTTCCAATTTTTTTTCTGCTTTATAGGTTTCCCTGAGTCATACAATTATATGTATCTCCAGCATGTTGATGTTCTGAGTCACTTCTGCATTAGAACAGAAATTGCAGACTTGACTGAGTTAGTGTTATCATTTGTCATCTGGAGTAAAATCTACTGGAGGGGGTTGTTTATGAGGAAGCAGCCAGGGAGAACAAGGAAGGTTTGATAGTAAAAGCTTGAGATTCTGTGTACATTCAAATCTTCAAATATGTTTTAGCTTGTTCTGCAGTGGGAACGTGTCACTTCAGGAGCCGTGAAGCCACGTGAAACCTCAGAGCCTCGGACGGCAGCCCAGCACTTCTGTGAGAAATTCCCTTTCCTTGGTGTTCTTTCCATTAGGTTATCCGCAGCCTTAAAGCAGTTAGCCTCTCCTCACTCAAAATAGAATGAATTATTATATTGATGTATTTGTCATCATCCACCAAGACTTTATTTTCTTAGTACCTTAGTAAGCAAATTCACTAAAAAGAAAATAACGTTTAAAAATTGTATATATTTGAATGTTCTGTTTTATTTTTAAAAGGATTTCTGGTGGTAAAAGAAAAAAGTGGTTAAGAATGCATAAGAGTTAAAAAAAAATGCAGTGATAGAATTGAAATGAAGAAGAAACCAGGTAGCAAAATAAGTAGAATCCAGGGCAAACCAGGAGAAATAGAATTAGGTTGTATTGTTTGCTAAAATTACATTGATTTGACTTTCAGCTTCTTAGAAGACAGTCAAGTCCAGATTCTGATTAATGACAGCTAACAGTTACTGAACTTTTATTGTATACCAGTGCCACTATGACTACCTTTTCATGCATTATCTCATCTCTATAACATCCTTATAAATAGGTTTATATCCCCATAAAGATGCGAAAGCAAAGTCACAAGGTCAATTATCCTCTTAAGTTGCAAATCTGGGATTTCATTCTTTTCAAACTTCAGTGTGAATACTAAATGCCTTAACATGTGCTTCAGCCTGTACCACAGCTACTTTATAAGGCACTCGGAGTGAAATAAAATTAATCCAGACATTACCCTGTTTGGGTATTTGTCACTTCCCTGGATCATCTTTACACATGTAACTACCTTTTGCCAGTGTAGTAAACTCATCGTCCTTCTCTGTCACTCTTTCAGATGGGAAGCGATCCCGGACAGACATGGCAGTGAAGTGCGCTCTGGCAGATGCCCACATGAACTCTTCGGAAAAACTCCAGTTCTATAAAGAAAAAGCCCCAGACTGCCATGGGCCATTGTTGAAACGGGAGCCTGCCTTGTGTCCGGAGTCAAAAAAGAACAAGAAAAGAGCTTTTGAGGATCCAGAAAAGGAACAGAATAACTCTTCACAGTCTTCAAAGCAGAAATACGTATGTCTTTCTGTGGAAGACTGGGACTTAATAAATTCTTATTGATAGACAATAAGTTGACCTTTCCCCACTCTCACCCCCATTCTCACCCCCCCTCCACTCTAATGGAAGAGGAAAGGGGACTGATGATGTTTACTTTTTGGTTGAGTTTACCTATGACATTAGCATAGCAAGCAGATATTTCTACTTTTGTGGTGGGGGTGGGGACTGCTATGGAAGTATGTAATAATTTCTAATGTATATTTTCAATACATAGTAATTTTTTCAAATAAACATTTTTTGCTGTCCTTAAATTCTGCTTGTGGTTTATAGACCAGAACCCTGAGAAGTAACACTTTGATTTGGAATGTAAGGCCATGTGAACTAACAAGCCTGGGATGATTTGTTACAAGCATTGTCCTAGGCTTATGAGTATTCAGATTACAAAGAACCATACTTAACAACTATCTCTGTTTGGTACATCTTATTTATTATTAGAAAGAAGTTGATGCACATAATGTGCTGATGCTGTCATTCTGAGATGTACAGTTCTTAATGTACTGTTTAAAACGCTTCCAGTTTTATAATTCACTGTTCAGGATACTGATGATAATAATAGTTGATGTTAATGAAAACAAAACAAAAGTATTGAACTGAATATCAAAACTGACTTAGAGGAAAGACATTGGACCAGAACCACATCAGTTGAGGATTACCTCTACTACAATTTATAGTCTCTTGTTAGGTGGTGTTGAGTTGATGGCAACTCATAGTGACCCCACGAACAACAGATCTGAACTTTGCCCTGTCCACACTGTCTTTTTGATCTCTGCTAATGCTAGAGCCCGTTGTTACACTCCTCTGTCAATCCATCTCCAGGACCGTCCTCTCTTGCTGACCCTCTGCTTTTCCCAGCATGCTATCTTTTTTCCAAGAACTGGGCCCCTGATAACATGACCAAAGTATGTGAGAGAAAGTTTCACCATCCTTGCCTCTAAGGAACATACTGGTTGCACTTTCTCCAAGACAGATTTGTGTGTTCTTTTGGCATTCCAGGGGATATTCAATATTTTTTTATAATAAACACGATTCAAGGGCATTGATTCTTCTGACTTACTCATTGTCCAACTTTCAGTACATAGGAAGCACTGAAAATACCCTGGTTTGGGTAATGCACACTTTAGTCTTTAAACTGATAACCTTACTCTTTACCACTTGAGGGGTCCTAGATAGCAGGATTTCCCTGTGCAACCACTTATTTTCTTTTTTTATGTTATTTATTTTAATTGGTTTGTTCACAAAGCTTATATACATTGTATTTCACACTATTTTGTATTCATACTGTATTTCACACTATTCCTCATTCACAGTGTGTTTCATACAATCATTCTCATAAATTATATTTTACAAAATCAATTTCCATTGGTCCTTGACCATCATTATCCTGTCTTTTCTCCTGGATCCTTCTCATTTGCCTCCCCACCTTCCTCCACCCACCAAACCAACAACCCTGTGGTTTAACCCTTACCCATCCTCACCCCTCCACTCTCACCCCTGCTCCCCTTGTGTTCCTGTACATGTTTCACTGGTTAACCTATTTTTACAATAATGATCTTATGCATTATTTGTCCTTATGAGACCACATTAGTTCACTCAGTATAACAACCGAAATGTCCAACCACAACCTGATGGATTGAGAAATTGTGGTACATTTACACAGTGGAATACTACGCAGCACTCTGGAGCAACAATTTTGAAAAATACTACATAACTTGGGAGAGGCTGAAGAGCATTATGCTGAGTGAACTAACGCAACACACCTTTGGATTTCTTGACTGTTGGTGCCATGGTTGTTAATTGTGGATCTAAAAAGGATTAAATCATTGAAAACTTCAATCTTCTCTCCATCTATCATGATGTTACCTGTTGGTCCGATGAGTGGATTTTTCATTTTCTTGATGTTGAGGTTTATTTAATCTATTAAAAGTTGTAAGCTTGAACTCCAGTATGTACCTCAAGTCTTTTTCAATTTCTGCAAGCAAGATTGTGTCCTTGCCTAATACAGGTTGTTGGCGAGTCTTCCTCCAATTCTGATGCCACATTCTTCATAAAGTTCAGCTTTTTAAAAATTATTTGCTCCGCATATGTATTGGATAGATATGTAGAAAAGATACAACCATAACTCACTTTTCTGATTTTAAACCATACAGTGTTTCCCTTGTTCTGTGTGGACAACTGCTTCTTGCTCTATAATTTTCAAATGAGCAGTTTTATTTTCTAGTGACCTACAGAGAAATTGGTGCATTTGAGTAGTGGTATTGGAGAAGAGCGCTGAATATCCCATGGAGTGCTGATAAATAGGTTTTGGACAAAGTGCATCCAGAATGCCTTTGGAGGCAAGGGTGATGAAGCATTGTCTTGTGTACTTTGGACATGTTAGGAGAGGCTATTCCTTGAAAAAGGACATCATGGCTTAGAAAAAAATGGAGGGTCAGAGAAGGAGAGGAAGACCTTCAGTGAGACCTTCAGATGGACTGACAGTGTCTGCGACAGGGCGCTCACGTGTCAGAAATGATGAGGATGGCCACGGCTCAGGCTGCTCTTGATAGCATTTCTATGATTTGTTCTTTCTTCGACAGCACCTAACAGCGCACCATTCCAAACTTAGAGGCCTTTTCAGATTTCATTGTGGAAGCTATGCAAGGCCTGGTTATTGCCACAGTCATGCAATTCAAATCAGATCTTAGCTGAGGCTATCAGCGGGCTGAAATAAATGTATTTTCTGCTACTGCTGTTGATGACTACAGGTGGTGGTAGTCTGTACCATAGAGTTGGAACCGACCCATAGCTGACCCTTTGGCACATTTTCAGAGGCAACTAATCGCATGGGAGGGGATTGCCCATCCTTAGCCCGTGGAGCAGCTGGTGGCCTAGAACTGCATGCATTTAGGATTGCAGCACAGCTTCTTGCCACTAGGCCACCAGAGGTATGTGTATAATTAACAGTTAATGGGGATTAGCAAAGCATTGGTTTCTATCTTTAAGCTGTGCAAATGTGTGCCTCTTGCCCCCATTTTCATTCTTTTCTCTGTAACCTTATCCCCATGGACCTTGTCCACTTGTTAATTTTCTCCTTCCCACAATTGTTAGTTTCCTAAATATTTGCAGGACTAAGAAGTGAAAGTACTTGATAGCACCACCACCAACAACGACCCTGGAAGATAGAGATTAGTTTTCAATTTAAAGTCAGTTAGCATCAGAAGACTCATACAAAGTCACAGACAGACAGAACTAATATTTATACTTCTCAGTCTTCCACTCCAAAGCCATGCACTGTTACACTGCTTACTTAACGATTTGTTGTTGCTGTTAACTGCCGTGGAGTCGTCCTGACGCATGGTGACCTGTGTGCATGCGCACAAGAAGCCTGGTCCTGTGCATCCCGTGATCAGTTAAGAGTTGGGTCAGTGTGATCCCTAGCTGTTTCATTGGCTGGTTTTTTAAAGGAGAACACCAGGCCTTTCTTCCAAGTCCATGTTGTCATTAGGTGCTATTGAATTGGCTACCCTGTGAACATAGCAACCCTGTGAACAATAGATCAGAACCCTGCCCTATCCTGTGCCATCCTCGTAATTTCTGACATATTCTGAAGTTGCTGTGTCAGTGCATCTCATTGGGGGTCTTCCTCTCGTTCACTGACCCTTCATCTTTCCAATCATGATGCCCCTTTCCCAGAAATAGCCTCACCTAGCTATGTGTCCAAAGTATGAGATACAAACAGGGCAAGAACATAGTGAAAATTAGCAGAGACAGTTTACTGTAGCTGGATTAGAGACAATCTCCCCAAGGAAGCAACATTTGAGCTAAGAAGTATGATAAAAAGGAGATGACATGTAAATACCTGGCAGAAGATAATGTATGGAGGAACAAGTGTAAAGAAGAAGGTTTGAAATGAGAAATGCTTGGCACATTCTAGGGGCAGGAGGAATAGATTCAAGATGAGGTAGTTGATACATAATTAGTGATAGGAAGGTTCTGGAGAGAGAGAGACAAAGGACTGATTAGATTTTTATGGACTATGGACAAGTGTTTAAATTTTACTTCAGAAAGCCATTGAAGAGTTTGGAGGACAGAAGTGATGTGATCGGATACATCTTTTTTAAGAGTTAACCCCTCACTGCTGTGTGAAGCAGAGAACTCTGGTCCATAGGGACTTCCACTGCTGTGGCACCTTCAGGTGGTTCAAATTCACTAGCAGCTCCACCAGAGAAAGATGGGCAATATCCCAAGTAATTTACAGCCTCCAAAAGCAAGCTGGAGAGTCAGCTGTGAGTTGGTTCTTACCTGAGGACAATGAGTGAGTGTGGTGTGGAATATGTGATAACAGTGGGGCAGTGGTTGAAACATGAAGTCTAATCAGGACCATTAGAAGGCCAATCATAGCTCATAATAGCTAAGGTTAAAAGACAGTGGTGGGAAGAGGTTGGATTCAGAGTCTCAAAATAGATTAGAACTAGTAGGTTGTGTTGATGCTTTGATGTCAGAGAGTCAAGAGTAAAAAAAATTTACTCCTTCCTACACTAGGGGCCTCTGGTGGCCTAGTGGTAAAATGTATGCAATTTGAATCTCCACCAGCCACACCGCAGGAGAAAGGACGCCTGTGTGATTAACTGCCTCTGAAGACTCACTGGAGGGTCAGCTATGGGTCAGTTCTGGCTAGACAGGACACACAACAACAGGAATTTTGTCAGTTATAATTAATGAATCTTGATTGCATATTTGGTCCATTTTGGAATGCAAAATTTGGTGAGAATCTTTAAATTCCTCTTTGGCGTTAGCTTTGTGCATATATCTGAATAATAGTCATAGTGGCAGATCTTTCTTGTATGCTTAATTGTGCTTGTGCAAAACCGTGGTCATGAAACAAACCAAGAGGCTGTTCAAACAGAACACTATGTAATTTAAAGTTAAGAAAATTTAGGGAGCTCTGGTGGCCTAGTGGCAAGAACCTGCACTGCAATCCCACAGATATGTGGTTCGACTCCACCAGATGCTCTGCCGGAAAAAGAGGGGCAATCTCTTCCTGTACCTGTCGGATCTGATTTGATGGTACACACCCAAAAAATAGAAAATTAAAAAAGAAAAAGAAACAAACAAACAAAACAAACAAAAAGTTAAGAAAATTTTGCTTTAGGGTTGGATCCTCCATGCCTCTTCAATCTGTATGTTGAGTAAATCATTCATGAAGCTCTACTCTCTGAAGAGGAACTTGGCATCAGGATTAGAGGAGCTCATCAACAAACTGTTTTGCAGA